TTCTAGTGTCAAACTCTGCATATACATCATTCTGCACAGTAAAGCTCAAACATTCAACTGTAGGAACAAGAAGAAACACATATTTTTGAGTGCAGGGGGACTTATACGAATATATACTCCCTCTGGGACATTCTGTATCAACTGGCTCCAATCACACAGTAAACATGCAGGTGCCCTGCTTAGCCAAACATAAAGTGTGTGTTTCAGCTTTATGTATTAATGAGCTGGAGGCCAAAGATGCTCTGCAGCATGGAGCAGGTGGAAGTTTGGTCCCGGATGGGGTAAAGTTTACTCCTCATCCTCCAGACTCCATCCTGTCACATGCTGATCCTGCCTGCATCCACCGCCTTCCCAGCACACCACTGCAAACAGCCCTGATACCTTCATTAAATCATTATACAGAACACACACAGTTGACACACAGACCTAACATGCCCTGATTGCTCAATGTTAAGAGTCCCGTTATTGAAAAAGACAGCTCACACCAGGAAGGAAGTTCACTTAATGCTGAGCTAGTTTTTTTTTTTTACCAGTCATGTGAAAATAACAAAAGACAGTTTCTCTTGGTGGTGAAATATATGTTTGAGTCTCCTCACTGTATTTCTCTCCAGACCTCCGCCCTCCTGCTGCTCTCACTCAAGTTCCTCCTTTTTTTTTTGCACACTGTAAAAAAAACCCAACCTCAATAATCCATTTGAACTAAGTCTCCCAGCTCCTGGTTGCCTATTTATATGAATAAATAAGCTGATTAAAGAGCTGAGACCGAGTTGTTTTTCAGCAAATCGTGAGTGTAGAAACAATGTGTGGTATTTCAGATGAACTGTGCTCCTGAATGACTCGCACAGACACTTCTTACAGCGCAGCTCCTCCTGTCTCTGCCCCTCCTGCATCATCTGCCTCCCCGCGCTGCGCCGCCGTTGCGTCTCTCATTCAGTTTAATCCAGAAGGACCAGTCAGACTCCCTGCACACACACACACACACACACACATACATACATACATACACACACACATACTTACCAGCACGGACAGCTGCAGAACCGACCAAGCAACCATGGCTGTACGGGACGCTGCCTCTCCGCTCGTCGGACTTGTGGTCCTCTTCTTCACCTGGGGAGGTGAGTGTCCGGGAAAACGTCTGGTGCTCGATGCGTGCAGCATGAGGGGTTGTTGGTGGGATGTAGATGTGTCAAACTATTTGTTTTTAATGTCAAGATTCATCGCAGAAACTATTCAGAGGAACTTTGTCATGGAAGTTGAATTACGGGGCTGCATTGTGTGTTTTTAATCTTTAACAATTATGGAAATTGAACTTTTTTTAATAATTTATGTGGGATGTGTAAGAACCATTCAATAGACTTTTGGGAACTTTACCTAAATCAACAGTTGCCTGCGAACTTTACCTCCTTTGCAGCGTGCTCATACCTCCCTGTCTTGTGCATAGATATGAAGCTGCACAGTCCTCTCTTGCTTACATTAGTTTTCAGTAAAAAATCCACCCAGGATAGTAAAGCATCCACTGTGGCCCTGTGTTGTTGTAACCTGACTGTATGTTCTCAAGTCCACGATCTGTATGAAGTTCCTCACAGAAGGTAGATGTTTAGGAGCTTGTATTAATTAAGAAATGATAGTACCACACTGTAACTGGAGGCTGTGGCCATTTTTCACCCTTCTTTCTTGTTTCTTTTGCACAGTTGTTTGCAGGTTGTGTGATGGATGAAAAAGAATAAAATAGCCTATTTGTGCAACACCGATTGCTGCTTTGTTACTAAATACCATTATGAGACGTCATACTTTGCTAATTTCCATTGCATTTCTTATAGTTTGAATAGTTTGCTGCATATATTTTTAGCCACTGACATCCACAGAGGTCCGGTTGTAGTCAGGGAGCTCTCCGTCTGCTTTCTGTCAGCTCTTGTCTGTTTAGTGAGTAGCTCAAATATGTTTCTGTCACACACACACAGACACACACGGTACATTCCCAGAGTGAGATAAAGCTCTCGCTGCACAGCTTTGGAGTGAGATACCTTCTGTGTGAGTTCGCCTATGTGGTTTATCATCTTGGGTGTTGTTGATTAGACTTCTTTAAATCTGCTGTGTGAGTCTAGAATAAAACTAGTAGGATGGCCACTGGTGGCATGCACTGTAAGGTGCAGATGAATGTTTATTTTTAGGAGAGAGTGTGTGAGTGTAGATTTATATGTGGTGTTATGTGGGTGAGAAGGCCA